TAAAAAGCGTATACAAAGACTTTCCTTTTTTTTTTTTTCAATATATAAAGCATCTGCATTTAGGTAAGTACAGGGTATCTACAAACCAAACACTCTTCATTGGCGCATTTAGGTTTAACTTATCGGGAGATCTGCAACACGAACAATCAGCTCAGAGCAAAACATTTCATTTAACAAACACGTCTGCAAATTTTCCAAATTTATTTTTATTTTCCGCAAACATTTTAAGATGTTTGTCTGCTGCTGTTCAAAAAATTTGCCTGAGCCGCTGCCGCTGCATAAAATTTGATTGTTTTTGATCAAATATGCATGCAAACGTTGTAAAAACTGTTTCTCTGTTTTCTTAAGTTTGCCAAAGCATACAGCAGCGGCAACAAATTTCAATTTAATTTTTTTTAGCTTATTTTTTTTTTTTTGTACACACAGACGAGCGAAAGTGAGTAACTACCCAGCGTAGAGTATGGGAACGGAGATGCAGATGAAGACGAAGGGGCAAGTCTTCCAAGTATGTAAATCACCTTAACTACAGCACACGGCGCAGATTTATGGGCGCCAGCTACTTAGCGAGCAGAATTTTTTATGGCCCCTGAGACTGGAACATGCTCGGGTTACCAAAGAGCGTAGAAACCGCCTTCAACTGGCACCCAGACTCGTTGGGTGGTTCCGCCATTAGACGACCTACCCTACCCACCCTTCCCTCTCGCCGTGCGACACAGAACTGTCACAATCGATTAGATGCCGCCGGTTGGGGCGTAAAGTGAAAGCAATGGACGCTACGATTTTAGCGCTGCCGCCTCCAATTGAAGAGCAATTAGCAGTCGGCACAAATCGCGGATGCAGGTATTCCAAGCTCTTTCCGAGCATTTCGGCGGTGCTAAGTGGTGGCTTTTAGGGCTACTCCAGCTGAGTCAGCAATTAAGAGAATTGTCAATGTGTGGGTTAGTCCGAGCATTTAACACGGTTTTGCATTGCAGCTTTAGTCACTAAAGTGTTAAAATAAATACATATTTTTTTTTGCCAATCTGAGATCGCTTATCATTGGCATGTCTTATGCAAAATATAGTTCTTGATGTGACAAGGAAGTTTTCATTAAACTTACTCACAAACTTTTCTTCATACTTTAATGGACTCAAACGCGTGCCAAAAGCACAACAACAACAACAACAACAACAACAGCAATTAGAAATGGTATGCAACATTATCATTAAGGCTCGTCGTTACGCATTGCCAACCCCGCCCACTCGGAGATAGTCGGCGTGGGCCATATTTGTATATCAAGTGAAAGCTATTCACTTAATTTCCACATTTTGCTGTTGTTTGTTATTTTTAGCCAAAACTGTTGTCTTGTACATTTTTTCACATGATTGTGTTAATCAGTTTTTACCTTATAGTATATTGTATTTTTTTTTGCTTTTTATTTTTCAATTTAGACTTTACACAGTGAAATAATGCGAATTTGGCTGCAAACGCGACTTTTGACCGCTTTACATAATACAACAAGTCCCCCAATGGGAGGGCAGAGGCGTTGCTTTTGGAGCTCACAGTGCAAAAATTAAAATTATGCGAAAGTTAATTAGTCACTGTCCCCCATGTTCATATATATTTATTATAACTAATAACTCGTATACTTTTATACTAGTCCAGCAGGTTGGGTTGGGCGGTCTGTGGGCGGGCGTGTCTGTCTTTCATGTTGGTTTTTATGTCATCATCAGAAAACTGTGTGACCAAAAGGCGTTAAACGGTTGCGGCCATAAAAATGCTATAACGTTCGGTTACAATGTAAACAATTTAAGGCTTTCACTCGAAATGAATTGCATGCAAAAAGATCTGTTAACATGCAAAGCTTAAGCGGCGTTTAACATGCGGGTGAAAGAGCAGCATAGGTCGATGCTAGAAATAACTTCTCTGCGAGCATAAGCAGAGCGTCATTTTGGCTCAGTTCTCAGTTCTCGCGAAAAACTGTCAAAGCTACTCGTGTGGTTAACATGTGGGTAACAGGGTGGCAGAAATCACAGCATCTAAATGTGTGAGAAAAGTCCAGACTCAGCTCTCGCCAGCTAACTGTCAAAGCTTCCGCTCCCGTATGCAGTCGCATGCACATTTTTGTTGTAAATAAAAAGCACAAACGGAAAGGCAAAGAAACGACGCAAACTTGCAAACGAAACAATTTTAGCGGCGACAACGTTGCCGGCATACGGTTAATTAATTGTTGTTACACATACAAGCGCAAAAACTATGTGCGAATGTGCGTGTGCGTGCGTTTGTTTGGCAAGCCGTCACACCTATTACACGAAAGCTGTAATTATTAGCTTTTCAATGCGCCCAAGTGCTGCAAATGGTTTCCATTGAATATCTGCCAAACAAATCACATAACTGTCATCAAGCAGGGCGTGCCATAATTGTTATCAAACAGTGCGACCAGCAGCCGTAGCAGCGCAGCAGCAGCGCAGCGGCGTCGATCAAAGAAGATACAAGCAGCCACAACCGCAGGTGTCAAATGCTGAGCAAGCGACAGAAAGAGAGAGAGAGAGAGAGCACTGGTGCAGCTAGCAGAAACAGTTGCTGCGCTTTGACTTTGCTTATTCGTTTTCGTTCACATGCTGCAAGCGCAATAGTTCTAATTAATTATGCAGCGCATGTTGTTTGTGACGTCACAGCGCAGTGCAGTCATAAAAATATAAAAGCAAAAGTGAATTTTATTTATAGCCGCATATATTGAACGATTAATTTTATACGTTTTCATTTGAGCTGCGGATTTGGTTACAAATGGTTGCGTTAAGTAAAGCTGTTAAGTACCCTCTGAAGCCATTCGCAGTTATCACAAAGTATCTAGGCTTGTTAACATAACTATGTAAGCACGGTTAACAGTGCCGGAGCTGTTGTTAACAGCAGCCTTTAATTTGCATTAAAACAAGCTATAAATTTAATTGTAAAAAAAATATTAACAATTATAAAAAACAAGCGCATTGAATTGCAACGCTTTGCGAAATGGCTTGTTAATTAATAAGTGCATTTTCGTGTGTAAATGTTTACACAAGTAGCTAGAGAGCACTTAAAATCTCCAGGCATTCTACTGTTAACTTTGTTAGCGAAAGCAGCGTCCGTTAATAAATTGAGGAATCGATTTGGCAATTAATTAATTAAGTTAATATCAATTGAGAGCAACAACAAAAGGCGTTGAGTAAATAAAGCACTGCGCTCGGCTGCCCGCATCAATATTTGTAGTTGATTCTGATTTTGTTTTAATTATTTCCATTAATTTTAACACATTTCCACTTTCCAGACAGTAAATATATATTTAACTTTATGGCAAAAACAGGAGTTTGTCTTTTACGGTTAATTGCAATAGCAATTAAAACTGTTTCTGCGCATAAATAAAAATAAAAGCTGTTTACAGAATGATTGATTGAATGACTGACTAAATGAGAAATTTAAACAACAAACGAACGATGCGTGAAATTGTCAAAATGAGCGTTAAATTTAATGCAAGTCTCCTCTCCGAGCGCCAACAAAATTATGCAATTAATTTATAAACGACTAAAGTATTTTAATAAATAGCAGGTCTTTAAACATGACAGCAGGATTAATTGACAAATTTAATATCGTGCTGATTTAGTAGGAATAGCAACATTTAATAATCCCTGCATCCAATTCAATCTAGATTGCGTTTAGCCAATTAATATGCTGACAACCTGATTAATTGAAAGGTGTAAAAAACTAAACGAAATATATTTAAATCTATGCTGCCAGCTGGTTCGAACCTGCAACTACAAACGTTGGCTTAACATAAAAATCCATTTAAAAACCCTAAGTTAGAAATTCTTGTGGTCCCAACAATTGCATTTATCTAGCCATATTTGACAGATGCCAGTTTTTTGGGCAGTGTTCAAATCTAGCCCGTATTTTGCATATGAACATATTTACGGCTTGCAATATTTTCAGTGCAACGGGCATATGTAAACTTTAGGGACTTTTCGCTTGTTTAACTTAACTCTGTTTATTTTTGCCTACCTACCATAAACCTATTCCCACACCCAAATGAAAAAATCAAAGCATTTTTAAATACCAATTAGGCCATAACAAGTGTGTGTTCAGTATATCATTAGTTTACATCTAATGCGCTCTCAATTGCAACACATTTGGGTCTGCCACAAGTTGCACAATGAGCGGACGCTGCGAACGGCCAAAACACCTTAACTAATGGCCCGCTATGGCCCGGCCAGCGACTAATGAGCGGGCGGCCAGCGCTGAGCTCTTTAAAAGGCAGCCAAGAACCCAGCCAAAAACTAAACAACAAAATTTATATATAATAGAAAAAGAAAAACAACAAAGAAGTATTGGTAGTTGAAGTGGCAGCTACTTGAGATACTCGAGTTGGCGTTTGAATTTGAGTTTTCGAGGTTTTCTTTTGGCTCTGTTGTTGTCTCCGAGCATAGTTCGGGCTAACGAAAAAATTGTTTAAAAAAAAAAAACTGGCCCCGAAGCTGCTCAACAATTGCTGGCAACACGAAATGAAATATGACTGCAGAACAATCGACCAGAAAAAAAAAAAAACAAAAAAAAATCCGAATACTGCAAGTTGGCTTAAAGTTATTTTAAACTGGAGCACGTCAAGAGAATTCTGATTGGATACCTAATGCAGCCGCAGCCGCAGCCGCAGCTGCAGCCGCCGCAGCTGACCATGAAATGCGTTTCTGTATGATTTTTCTCACTTGCGTTTCACTTTTGCTCGCTGCCAAAGTTGGCCAGTTGAGAAAAAACCGAAAGTTAACAGAACCGAGAATCGAGTGCACCTCAAGTTGGAACAGAGTGCGCAGCATCCAATAAGTAATTATGACCGGTTTTCAATTACATACGTGATTAATTTAATTCGAGCGCATTGGCTATGGCCGATTGTCATTAAACGGGGCCAATTACAATCAAGAATAAAAAACTTAATAGAACAAAATGCTTGACTTGGAATGTTTTAGGAGAATTTGGTTAAGAGTATTTCGACTTACCGCTTCGGATACGGTATGCGTCTATATTTGAAAGCGTTTTCCACATCGCGCAGCTTCATTTTGTAGGAGCGGTCCGCGTTGAGAGACATTTTGGAAACACACACACTCGCACACACACACACGAAATGAAAAACGCGAGAGATCACAGCTTAGACAGTTCTTGGATTGTTGAAAAGCTTTTCTAATTCTTTGCTTGCCACTGTCACAAGTTACAGTTAAATGCTGTAAGCTTTTCGGTATAACTGTTGACTGACAGCCCGGCACTGCAGCGGGAGAGTGACGTGTGTAGCGCACAACGTTCGCGGCACAACTGAATGTTCCTGTGAGCGCTTGGCCGCCTTTTTGGCCAAGTCCAAGCGTTGATCAGCACTCTGCGCTGCGACGTCGGCGTCGGCGTCTGCGTTTGCGCCAAGCGCTAGTTACGTTTATCGTTTGTTGTTGTTTCGCCAGCTGCTTTTACCTTTTTCTTTTGCGCACTCATTCGATTTGAAGTCAACTCGGCATCTCTTCAGCAAAGCCGCTCTCTTTTTTCTCTTTGCCAAAGAGGGCCGTAGACCCAATAAATTGGACGCCACTGTGCGCCATTTGATGTCTGCATTTTGTTATTGTCACAATGTTTTAACGTTTTTTTTTACTGCCTGTTGGCATCATAATCCACTTCTGTTCTATTTGGGTCGCTAATATTTAAACAAATTGTCAGCGTAGCATATGGCTATCAAAAAAACTAGGAACACAACTACACAAACATCTAACAGAAACAATTGATGTTTGTCAGTCTTTGAACAGTTGGTCTTTTTACCTCTTCTCGACTCGGTTAAGTACCATGAATTTTTCTACAACATTAGCATTTGACGGCTTCGAATTCCTTTCTACTTATATCTATCTTTCTTTTGGAACTATACGAAAACTGGTTTCCCATTGAACCGCCCAATGGAAAAGAACTTGACCTTTCCGGCCAACGATTAACATTTATTTTTGAGATACCCGTCTTTAAACTTATTCTTTGCTGTAGAAATCAGTCTGCGCAAAATTTGTTAAGCAAGAATATGAAATTTCAGTAGAAATTAATTATATTTACATTTTCAGTCTCGCACTTGTGGCCTATGGAGCTCATTGACCCTAAAACGCCTTTGGTCATTTGCAGAACAGTGAGTACAATAAAACTGTGTACCGATAACATACCATACCCAGGCATGAATTGCTTTAACATAAGTATATTCTTATAAATATATAAGTAAATGTACTTACCCCGAAAATTCATATACACGCAAGAATGTTGAAAATCCATAATTTTTACAAAACAATTTTAATATTCACTTAACTGAAAAAAGAAAGAAAAAACGAAATGTTAATTTTGTAATATATGTCTATATATGGACTCATATAAATATAAATATATATATGTACACACAATAACAAAAGTATTTTAACTAAAAAAATATTATTAGATTGCAAGCACTTAACAGAATATAAAGAATATAACACTTATAATCAAACTGGTGAGGCTTACTTGAATTTATGAGAATCACGTAGTAGAGCAGCATTTAACAGTTTTGCCCCTTAAAGTTGCTGAGCAGCAGGGAAGTTTGTAAGAAAGTTTCATACATATCATTTACAATCAAATCGACACACTATTTTACAATTTCGGTATAGTATATATTCCCAAATTCCCATCACCTAAGTGTGCATACTTTTTTGTAGCACTGTTCAGTTACGTTTTGCTCAGTTTTCGGACTGGCGTCTGACGGCTGTTGGTCAAAAGTAAAGCGTTTACACATTTCCATGTGCTGGGCTTTTCGAATTACTTATAATTATTTATTTTTATTTTTTTTTACGAAGTCGACTAGCAAAAAACTGATTGTTTATACTTTTTGCAACAAGCTGAAAATTCATGTAAATTTCTTGATAAAAAACCAAAAAACGCAAAGTCAACCAAAGTATATATATATATATTAAAAAGGGCATTTTAACAGACAAGATAACAAATATTCAAAAGGTGGCGGCTTGTGCCATCGTTTTGTTTACGTTAATGACAATTGGTAGCTGTCACAATTAGCGGCCAGGTGAGAGATAGAAAAGAAGAGTGAAAGGGAAAGGGTTAAGAGTGTGCCAGAGCGGGAGGAGCTGCATTACATAAAACCCAATTGCAGGCAGCCTCAATTGAAATCCGATATGCAATCGTGTATCAATAATGAAATTGTTCAAGAAATATCTGCATACCTGTCATCGGATTGCAATGCTTCAAAATATATGCAAGTAGAAAAATTAATTTGATTTGTCATATTTTCCACACAAGTAACCATCAGGTTGACGATGATGATGATGATCATTTATGAGAAGCTCTGGACATTTTGTGTTTATTATGCATTCGGATGAAGCACACCTTGTACCAAGAGAGAAAGACCAGGCGAACAGTTGTTCAAAACTGTCGTCAATCTGTCAGTTTATCAGTTGCAATTGCAACGGCAATAAGTTTTTACCTGGCTAAAGTTGTTGTTGTTTATGTTGTTGTTGTATGTGTTGTTCCTGGCGTAGCAATTGTGCTGAACTGGCAATTGTAAACAACTTCAATTGGCCCTCGGCGCAAATACAAATATACAAGTACATTTGCGCATGTTTGTGGACTCAGCAACTGCTGCGAGGTGTGCTCAAAGAGTTTTGATACTCTATTCTTAAAGACACAAGAGGTATATTCGCTTAAATAGTGTTATCTAATTAATGTTATCTGTTTTATGGCTAGCTAACTTTAGCAGGTGTCAGATATCATATTAAGTATTTTTTAAAATAATATTCCCACAATATCACAGAATCGATTCGATCAGTATTAAATATTAATTTCAGTGTCAACTCTCGCTAACATTGTTTTTTAGTCTTGTTTCTTTATTAGCAGGTCTAGCAGTTAGGCTTATCAACGCCATTTTGCCTAGTCTGGTGTTGGTCAGGTCCCAAAACAGAGTGGAGTTTAGTCAGCTGGCGGCAATAAACAGCGCCACAGTTGAGCACACAGTCAGGATGGTGACAACTACAACTACAACAACAACAACAACAACAACAGCAAGAATAGGGCATAGAACCGGCGGCTGTTGGTGGCTTATATGCTATGCGGGTCAAACAACCCAGGCCCAACCGGGTGCCCACCGTGGCAACAGACTGGCCCGCCTCGAGCCTTGGCAGGTGCCTTAACTTTAACACCGGCGAGGCTATTGGTTAGTCCAAACACAGGATGTGAGGCAATCAGCGCCTGTGACCCATGTTGGGGCCGGCAGCTGTGCTGTGTGTGTAGTTAACCCGATTTTGAATGAAACAAGCGGATTGTATTTTTAAAATTCTTGTTTAAGTTGTTTTTGGTTGTTTTTAATTGTCTTGTTTTAAATACTCGTTTCATCTATTTGATTCAGTGCGTCATCATTATAAGTTTTCTTTCTTGTTCGTACTATATAATACTATTTATATTTGATTTTGTTGTTCTTGTTGTTTTTGTTTTTTATATATTTATAAATATTTCATTTTGTTTATCATACAAGTGAAACTTACGGCATACAACTGAAAACATAATGCACAATTCATGAGCAATCCCAAAGTGGAAAGAAAAAACTTTTAAAAAATTTCGACAGTTTTTCTCTGGTTGTTTTCGTAGTTTCATTATGCGGATTTTTCAATCTTTCATTCCTCAACATGCGTTGACTATTTACACAGCTGCTGTATTTATTTATTTCTTTATTATTTACCAGCGTCACTTGCCGCACATTTCATTACTTGAAATTTGGTTTTTGTTTGGGCTTCAAATAAATTACATGCAATGTTTTATGTGCTGGCATAATTCAATTTCTTGTACGTTTTTTTTTTTTTTTTGTTTACGGAATGGAATGTACTTTAAACACAGTTGGCACAAAAATTTTTCCATACTTTGTTGTCATGTGTGTGAAGGAACTGAACCGAAACGACGTGAACGTGACTTTAACTGTGACTGTGACTCTGTGACTTAATGATTGCAATTGTGACCGAAAATGTTGTAACCGTATTTAAAGCTACCTCTTGAATACTCTGTCACCTTTTCTATATATATATATAAATGTTTTATTTTTTTTTTTTTTGAATTTCTGTCTGTGAACAGAAATTTGAATTTGGCCTATGCACCAATTGTTTTTAATTGATTTTCGGTATTATTTTCTTTCCGTTTTATGCTTATACATATGTAAATATGCCATGCTGTGGATTTAGTTATTGTTTATTATTATTTTTGTGTGACAAAATAATAACAATAGTTTCATAAAATTGTACAAAGTGCGCGTTTTGGCTATTAATACATATAATGGTTTATGTGTTGTCAAAAATGCAACTAAAACACCTTTGACATTTTCTTTTTTTTTTTTTATTCTTCTTTCGCCTTTTTACAAGTTTCTATTTGCTTTCCTTGTATAAAGTTGAAACTTTAATGGATTTTATTGATCTTTGCTATGGGAATTCTAGTTGCGCATTTCTATAAATTTCCTGCAGGGATACTTTTGGTTTTTGTTTGTTTTTTTTTTTTTTGTTTTTTTAGAATTTTTATATATATGTTAAGTGCATTTAAAATAAAGTATATTTGTCTTATGCATACATTTAAATGAGTTTCTCATTTCGCTTATGTTTTCTATTGAAAAAACTGCCAAAAATTGATTGTAATTATGGGGCTATGTCTTAGAGTCTAGTACTGCATACAATTGGCATAAATTAGTCTAGATTCGTATCATACTCTATGTCTGTGTGTTGTGTGTTTTTACAAATTGTTTTATGTTAAATGCTATTTTTTTCATAATATCATTAGGAATTTGTTTTATGTATTTTATTTATGTATTTTTTTTTTTTTTTGTCTCAACTGGTTTGCAGAACTAAGTGCATATTGAGTGAAATAAAATGAGTCTTAAAAATATCGATTCTTCAAAGTGGCGAAACTAAGTTAAATTATATAAAAAATATATATATTAACATATTTGCAGCACACATAAACACATTCAAATGCATATCAATAGATTTAAATATTTGAAGATTTGAAGACATTTTATGGCAGTTTCTCGTGATAATCGTGTAAACATTTGTTGTTGTTGTTATTGTTGAATGTTTGGCTAACACCATTCTAATTATTTATTAATTGAATTAATTTATAACAATTAAACCACTATGTGATGTTGTTCAATTGGTGTTCCTATGTGTGTGCGCGCGTGTGAGTGTGAGTGTGTGTGCTGTGTTAAAAAACCCACGTGCTGCTCTCTTTTTATAGACTAAGCCTATGCCTATGCCTATGCATACTCGTAATATCGTATGATAACTGCCTCAATTGTTGAATTGAATGCTTTAGTTGCTTAGTTTATAGTTTAGTTAAATATAGTTCAGTATGTGCATGCCATGGATCACAACACTGTCGAGATTTTCCACTTGCCCCTCCCTTCAAATGCAGCTAACAGTTATATAATCGTAATTATGCCTAACTCTCAATACTCTTATGCAGCAATGTTGCATATTCTTTAAGTTTGCTCTGACTTTTATACAATTTAATTGTAATTTCCGATCTCTTTGCATTTGGTTGCTAATTTTAACTAGTTTGGTTTTTTTCATTTCTGTGTGCTATGTGCGCTATGCTTAATGTGTCAATGGCTTCTTTTAAGTACGGTCCTAACCTATTTAAGGTACCTAACATACAGTAGTTTTTGCTTTTCAGCTGCAGCTTTAATGGGAAATAAAAAACCAGGTCATATTTGACAATGATCTAGTGTATAGATACTATAAAGTAAAGCCAATTTCTGACTTTAAAATTTCAATGCAGTTTTTTAAATGTAAATGAGGTGTGTTATTAAAATAAATCAATATATTAGAAGAAATGAAGAAAGGCAAAATTTACAGAAATTAATGGCAGAGTTTTAAAATAAACAACATTTTCTTTAATATAAAAAGTAT